GACCTGTTGTAAAGGGCTTTAATTTAAGTGGAGCTGAGAATGCAGATGTATTGAATTCTCATATTGAGAGTCCCCGTTCTCAAAGTCCATACTCTGATTATAATAGCCTAGAAATAAAGAGGAAAGAAAATATTGTTTCAAAGGAGAAAAAAGTAGTTTCATCAAACACAAACAGTCCGCGATGTCAGTCTCCAGTATCAGGACATCAAACACCTGATATGGATCCTAAACTAAAACTTAATGAAGAAAAAGTTGATGTTTTAAAGATATATAAAGATAAAAGAGGAGATAGCAAAGAACAGTTACATCTAGTTGTGGTTGGTCACGTAGATGCTGGTAAAAGTACATTATTAGGACGACTTTTATGTGACCTAGGACAAGTTCCACCAAGATTAATCCATAAATACCAGCAGGAGAGCAAAAAAATAGGGAAACAATCATTTGCTTATGCATGGGTTCTTGATGAAACAGGAGAAGAACGGTGATTACAATTTTCAATGTAAAACCATTACATATGTATTTGATTGCTTTGAATTTGTTTTTTCTACGTGCTTTCAATAGGGAACGTGGAATAACAATGGATATTGGTCATTCTAAATTTGAAACAGAGACGAAATCCATTACTTTATTAGATGCACCTGGACATAAGGATTTCATACCTAATATGATTACTGGTGCTACTCAAGCTGATGTAGCTTTGTTAGTTGTAGATGCTACTAGAGGAGAATTTGAAACTGGTTTTGACAGTGGAGGTCAAACTAGAGAACATGCATTATTATTACGTTCTTTAGGTATTAAATTTCATAAATGTCTATACAAAATTTATGTATTACAATTTACTTAAAAATAACTTTTTAGGTGTATTACAATTAGCAGTAGTAATAAATAAATTAGATACAGTAGACTGGTCGAAAGAGAGGTTTGATGAAATAGTGAGCAAAATGAGAGTATTCTTGAAACAAGCAGGATTCAAAGATAATGTTACTTTTGTCCCTTGTAGCGGTTTATCCGGCGAAAATATAGTTGCGAAACCTAAGGAACCTTTATCTAATTGGTATAATTATTATTTAGAATATTTAATATACTTGAGAACATAAAGTAATGTATTAATCAATGTTGTTAATTCATGCAGGTATACGGGACCTACATTAGTCAACATTATCGATAATTTCAAATGCCCCGAACGTCCTATAAACAAACCATTTCGTTTTTCGGTTAATGATATATTTAAAGGCACAGGATCTGGATTTTGTGTTTCCGGGCATGTCGAAACAGGCATGGTATCTTTAGGTGATAAAGTTTTAGTATTGCCAAGAAATGAAGTCGCAGTGATTAAAGGTATATTGACCTTATATAATTTTTTCTTTCTATATTTAGATGTTCTGATAAAAGTTACAAAAATAACTTTCAGGTTTACAAATGGATGAAGTATCTATAACGAATGCATTTGCTGGAGATCATGTTTCTGTAACATTATCAGGAATTGAACAACAGAATGTTGGGATTGGAGACATTATTTGTAATCCTCAAAATCCAGTTCCTGTAACTACATGCTTTCAAGCACATATAGTTGTATTTGCAGTGAAAGTACCAATCATAAAAGGCCTTCCTGTTGTAATTCATCAGCAGTCTTTAGTCCAACCTGCTGTTATCACAAAATTAGTAAGGCAACTTCACAGAACCACTGGTGAGACGATAAAGAAAAAACCGCGTTGCTTACCAAAAAATTCCAGTGCTATTATTGAAATTATATCACAAAATCCAGTTTGTATGGAATTATATAAGGATATCAAACAGTTGGGTAGAGTTATGTTACGTGTAGAAGGAACAACTATAGCAACTGGTCTTATTACAAAAATCAAGTAACAACATAATATAAAATATTTATGTATTCGCAGTTCGATATACTAGGGACGAATTTTTAATTTCACGCGGATGTATATGCAGTTATGTATTTACATATTACAGTTATACATTTACATGTTGCTAAAAATACACAAAAATTAACATAATATCATATCCTTGTTAATTTATGTTTAAATGTATGTGTACATACAAATATTTTACAACAAAAATTTTACTTCTGTTTGTCACTGTATAATGTGTAATATATTTCTATTGATTCTTAATATTTTTAAAGGTAATCCAATGTGTTTAAGAAAATTATCTGCCAGAACTTTGTTAATTAGTTTTTCATAATGAGGATTCTAAGTTGTTAAATAATGTAATTTTTTAATATAATACAATTATAATAATTATGTGCATAAAATGTTAGAATATTATTAATTTATCCTTGTGTTTCTTAAATGTATTTCATTTTATCCAGCACAACTTCTACATCCTCCAAATGGAATGTTTACAGTGTCTCCTGTGTTAGGTCTACCTAACCTACGTGTTGGCGGACGTGGTGGCCTACATATACAGACATAATATTGCTATTAATTTCCTTTATATTATATTATATCAATATAAATGACGTCAGGATTGACCAATGTTTTAAAACTGTACAACACGGATTTACCATATTAATCCTTTATGTTTAATAAATGTAAGAAATGATTCAGGTTACTTACAACATAATGATCATGTAGACTATACCCATAAAAAATCTGAACACTTTTAAATGCAATGGAGTATTATGCATAACACATCCATCTAAAAATTTAATAATTGTTATTGTATATACCTAAGAAACGCTTTAATGATACATCAAAATGTTTAAAAGTTTTAATTACACAATGTTAACTCAGGTTAACTTTATTACCATTAGATATATAAGCCATGTTTCACGATTGTTTCATAGCAAACGTAGCTTAATTTATTTTTTTTATTAATTCAGTTATAAACTGTTGCACAAACACGTTTATATAAATACAATCACACTTCTACGTTTTACAGTTTGACAGTTTTAAGCCACGTCACGTACTATTTAATGCGCAATCACACATGCAAGCACAAATTTGCGTTAACTTCAGGAGTATTGCACTATACAAAGGCGTAGAATATGAACTGGTTCAAATCTAAAATAATTGTCAATTAAATAATAATACAATTGATAATTACATTTTCGGAATATTATTTATTAATAAAGAAAACATGATTTTTAAGTGCAACACATCATGATTCTTGATTTTCATAAGACACTGTATTTATTATAATCCTTATTCTCGATTCTTTCGATCTAGTAAATTTTCTATTTAATCTTTACAAGGTAGATGAAGTATACATGTCCACATTAAAAATCATTTTAAAAAAATCATTTATTTAACACTTATTAGATAAACATTCGTACTTATATTTCACATTTAGCGTCAAAACGAAAATGTGAAAAGTAATTTTTATATTACAAAGAATTGTTTTAAAGCATTTCGTTCCTTCGATAGTTTTGGGCGCAATCTTATTTGCGTCACATTATTAAAAATTTGGAAGTGCAGTTCAAGCAATTAACAGATTCTTTTTACAGTCAAATGCATTAAACAAATAATTTACATTTAATCTACGATATTTTTCGTCGTATGATCACGTGCAACGACTTTCACCCAAAGTCCACCTTGCGCTCTGATCGTCATTCTAAATTTCGGCCGTACTTCCTCTTTTCCAGGGATCGACTGTAACCGGCACCTTCTAAGAATTGCGCTAATCAACGACTTCATTTCCAACATCGCAAATTTGTAACCTGAGAGAAAAAAGGAAAAACAACAAACGATCATTTAATGTGTTATTGTGCATTTCGATATTATGAAGCTTCTTAAAGGACAATCATTACCAATACAATTTCTCGGTCCAGCGCTGAAAGGGATATAAGCGTAGGGATGCCTCTTTTCCGAATTATCTGGATCGAAACGTTCCGGCTTGAACGCTTCAGGATCTGGAAAATGATATGGCAAACGATGTGTGCTGTAAGGCGACATGAACACACCACAGCCTGCTGGTATCACGTGTTTCCCTAAAATATAGCACAATGTCGTACAATAATTCCAACTTAATATTACAGCAATGAAAGAAGTAAAATATACCGATTTTTACATCTTCGCCTAGTATCCTTGCTATCAGTGGTACACTAGGATACAATCTAAGCGATTCTTTGATACACATCTCTAAACATCTCATCTCTTTTAAATCATTTATCGTGGGGTATCTTGAATCGTCGTTGAAAATTTGATCAAGCTCCTCTATACATTTGTTCTGCCATTCTGGATGGTTAGCCAGAAGAAAAATCGTCATTGCAGTTGCAGTGCCAACTGAATCTTGTCCAGCTAACATGAACGTGCAGCACTCTTCAACTATGTCATTGTCGGTGAAGCAAGGATTCTTCTCGTTGATTTCCACCATATATTCTAACAGAGACATTTTTCTCTTCCCTTTCGTTTCATCAACGACTGTAGGATCTTTGTTTCGCAAGAGGTTCCGTTTTTCTTTCATCATTCTGAAACATGTATCGAAAAGATCTTTTCGTTGCCTCTCCTCTTGTCTGCCGTGTTTCGTCAATCGATAAATCCACTCGATTAATAACCAAGGCCTCACCATCCGGTACAGAAGCATAATTTGTCCTCTGAAAGAAAATTTTGAGGATGTAGTATTTGTTCATGTAGTTAATGCAGCAAAGTCGTTGTGTCAAGGATAAGAAAAGTACAAAAATATTGTTCAATTCTCACTTTCGAAAAGGCAGATCGTCATCCACTATTTCGCCGGACTGTCGACTTGTTCGGCTTATTCCCAAAACAGTTTCTGCAAACAGTTAATAATTATTCTAAATATTGTAAGGCAGTTCTCACTAACGAAACGTCGAAAATACTGAAAAAATAAATCAGTGAAAATTTGTTTCATATGCTAATTAATATTGCAAATGTTAGCGTTTATCGGCTGTTCAGAAGAAAACATTTGCAGGTATGTATTCCTGTACTGAATAATAAATTTGTCACGTACTTTTTACACCAAAAAGCTTCTTGGCAGTGCATAAAAAGACGTCTGAATGTTCTATTTTCTTAGAATGCCATAAGTCTCCTATGAATACTTAATCGAATGCTTCATCTTCTTATTTAGAAGTATTAATTATAATGAGCAATATAGACTTAAAATTCGACACACTGCATGCTATGGAATTTTAACAATAAATAATAAAAATGATAATAAAAAAGATTCAATTATATCATTAACAATTATATGAAAATCCTTCGATTCTAATTATATTATTACATGATCGTAATTAACTCACGCAGTATCTGTTACGAAGCACATTATCGAGCATGAACAATGTAATAAATAAGCATAATGAAAACATTCTGTAAACTGTCTGTAATAGTTTACCGATTTCGATAAAGGAATTGCAAAACGTCGAATACTTAGACAAGTAAAATGTTGACTCTGTTACGCAGAATGCATTTACGTGTACAATTTTGTAAATAATACGACTTATAAGTGGTAATTTACGCAGTAGCACTTTCTTTTCAAATGTACATTCCACGCTTCTGAATACTTAATTCGCAAATAATATGAATTGCGAAAAAGTGCAACGATCGCGTGTAATTCAAAACGTGTCAAATATTTCGCAAAAATAATTTTCTATACCTCTAACAATTTTTACAAATCGATAAAAAGATAATCCTACAAAAAAGTGTTATTTGATCAATTTAATGATCGTTCTTATTGTCCAAAAAAATGGTTTCGTGATCTTGGGGCGATTCGACTTGAATTAAGTGCAACGACTCCGAGGTAACTTAGCTTGAAATCTCGCGATTCAACTGGAAATTTTATGAAATTAGAGGAATCCAATTTAAAAATTTACAAAAATGTACATCTACTTACCACTCAAAATATCGTAAACGGAATCATTGATAAAACTGGTGATATTGATCTCGTGGTTATTCTTTTCAAGAAACTCATTCATCAAATGATCCGCGCATTCCGCGAATGTACTAGTGAATTTCTCGAGAATATGAAGATGAAAAGCGGGCTGCAAGAATTTCCGGTGAATTCGCCAAGTTTCCGCGTCTTTCGTGATTAAGCCTTTCCCGAGGAAATTGTCGAGTAACTTGTAGAAAAATATCTTGCGCGTGTGCTTCATACTGCTGAGGACCACTTGGATGTCTTCCGGTTGTACAAGCAGCACGTATGGTAATCCAGTCAACCATATCCTGATGATACGTCCATAATCCTGATTCTCGTATGCCAATCTATGAAGCACTGAAACGATCATTTGAAACATCATTTTTTTCAAAATCTATTTAATTTATAATAATATTAATACTCTGATGTATTATTTATGCAGTGTTCTAACGTGTTATATAGACTACTTACAATTATCATTGAGAACGCATTGTGCATTTCCAAGTATCGGTACGGTTTTCGGGCCATTTAGACGGTACACGAGTATGACGCTCCTGATGTAACTCTTCAGAATGTACAGAATATAAATGCTGGCCAAAACGACGAGGTAGACCCACACCCCACCTGGCGTTTGATCCCACTGACAAAAACAAAAGTAATACGCGTTACTTCGTCAATTTTTATCACGCTTTTATTCGTTTTACACGATTAAAGAAACACGTATTAAATTGTATAAATAAATTTCGTAGAATTTGGAAAATGTTGAATGTGAACGTTTTAAAAATATTTTTATCATTTTTCTCAGAAAGAAATATGATGCGTGAACATTTTTTAAAACGTTGTTACCATTGTTTTTATTATCACACTGTAGTTAATTTGCTTCTGTTAACGTCAGATTTTTTGTTTTGACTGGTGGACTAAAAAAAGTCTAATTTGTTAGCACACCTAACCGGTGTCTTGGAAGTAAATACACGTTTTCCCTGCTCTTTTTGAAACACTTTTTATCAGACAGGGAGTCTGCTTTGTGATCGTTAGTGCGTCTGGTTATTGTCTAGTTGAAACGTTCTTAAAATAGCAGAAGGCACGAGGTTCGTAATGATAGACTATCACTCGAGTACTTTTTTGTTTTAATTAATAAATTTTTTAACACACGACGGTGGTGTGAATTATATTGCACGCAGGAAAGGAGAAAAATTTCACGGTTGGCTTTGAAACTATTTAAAAAATAGTAAAAATAAACTTTTTTTTATAGTTGGTTCATTCATCAACTATTCATGGTGGATCTTCTATTAATTGGTTCATTGGAACGTGCTATCGATCACTCGCATATGCCATTCGAATAATAATGTTTCCCTATAAAAGAACAAGGTTCGCTGACCATAAGTAAATTTTGGATAATAACAACAGTAATAGCAACTGAAAATGACTGACTGTCTGAATTATTATCCTTGTATGAAACGTGATTTCTTAAATTTCTTTTTTCAGTTGCTTCGTAATTTAAATTTCCCATAAAATACGCAAAATTGAAGTGTACGTTGTTTTAATCACTGTAGCCATGTTCGAAAGATTTCTTTTTTATCACTTACTATCTGTCGAGCTGAAACAACCATATTTCCTAAAATATCCAATGTCTTATATTATCAACCGATCGGAGCACTTTCGACAAAATTTTTAGTGTCCCCGCATCGAACTCTGGCGTACCCATAAAGATTCAGGCTATTTAAGCAGCTGCTCCCACCAGATTCGTGTGGATCACTCAAGATTTGCTCAAAGTCCAGTAATGTGTTTAGAAGACGTCATATACATAGATATTGTGAAATTGACGTGTATATTATATCGAGAGTCACGTAAAACTTTTCATCCCCAACAGATGCTTTATTTATTATTCCCCGCTTTATTTACCTATGCGTATATTATCACTTATTAACAATGTAACCGTTAACACTTATCAACACGTAAACTATTTATACCTTTCGTACCTCTAGTACCACAAGTGCGGAATACAAAAGCATATTTTATAAAACATGCGTGCGCATTAATAGTATTCAAAAAGCACACGTGACTACATGCGAAAAATATTTCCGATTTGTCACCACTATACACAAGATTCCAGAGATTCGTTGACTAAAAAGAAAAAAAAAAAGGAACGCATTTAAAATAAACATTATTTGCCGGGATTAGATAAATTGTGAATTAAATTTACCCTTTTCTTTAAATTGTGTATCCTTCAAATTCGATTTAAGCACGTTATTTTGCGAAGCTTCGCAGAATTTGATCTCACCTTTAGGAACACCATAGAGATATCATAATCCTTTGTGACATGAAATAAAACAAACAGCTCTGCACACGCGATTAAAGTAATCGGTCAACTAAACCCTCGCTGATGACTAGTAGTAGTTTATATAGGTGTAATGGAACACGAGGTGCTTACGGGGCCTATTAACAAGCAGTTCACAAACGAATCACGTATCGGCGATATGTGCAGGCGTGCTTTATAAAATATCTTTCCCGCTCAGCTTCTGGGAGGTGATCACCAAAGATGATGCTTTACGCGCATCCTTCCCGTCAGGGTCGTCCAGGGAGAAAAGAACCTCGAAAAAAACTTGTCCGGTGAATAACTTATTATATTATTAGACAGGTAATATAGTAATAATTAACAGGTCACTGATTGCGTGAACATATATCTATTAATAGTAGCTAAATTTGATTCACTATTTACAGGTGGTAACAAGTGTTCGTAAATAATTGCTCAATAGAATCTTGTGCAGAGTATAGTATAGTATCTACATTAAAAACATACGTCTTCTTTTTTCTTTATTCTACTTTCTACTTCAATACGGGTTTTTTTTTTCTTGTATATTTTCCAAATAAAAACGAATAAGTTCACGTAATAGATGAAAAACCTTGAAATTGTATTGAGAAATGCTGTCACGCTTTTATTTACCGTAAAAATTCCCTTCCTTTGACAATCTTTGTCGTATGTAAAGCCGCCGTCGAATACAATTAATTGCGACGTACGGTATATTGTATCCGGTGCCAGTCTACGATCTTGCAATTTAACTTGGACAGGTGCCAACTATTCTACTATACCACTATTATCCTTGTAATTGGCGTTCATTGCATTCACTTTGTTGTATACGATTCCATAGTTTTTCTTACCACTTAAGTGTTTGCAAAATTAATAAATTTCAATAGTACGAACGCCAATCTATATAAATGGTCATTTCTATGTTTATGTTACTGTAACGCAACCCTTAAAATTAAATCGGAGGAATGCCTATTGTAAACATTCGTTACAACATATTTATTTTTAAGACGTAGGTCCCCTTGAATTTAATTCTCCAATTTGAGCTCAACAAGTCTCCGTCTTCGTGTTGCTGTTAAGCTAATACGGTACCTTGATTTCTAAGTACATTTACTTTATGACATCATATTAGACGGACCAGTTGTCGTATACAACTATGTACCACCATGTTCATCACCATAGATGCGCGCGCAAATTTACATGATGTACCACCTTAGTCGGTTAGTGAACGTGCAACTATCATGAGAAGTAGTAGCAACATTTAATGGTTATGATTATTATAGTATCGTATAAATGCAAAAAATACATGTTAATAATCCATAATTATAGAGGTAGAACTATTATACATATGTATATTTGAAATATATAGAGATTGTATGTCTTTCGTTAGAAGCATCTTTATCTCCCACTTATCTTTATTTTAAGAAGCGTAAAAGAAGAATTATGTTTTATGATACTGTAATATGCATAAATTTAGGAAAGTTTAGATATTTTTTTTTACGTTTAAATAAGTGCATAAAGTATTGTTGTGTCATAAAGTTTTATTTTTACTGTGTCGTTTTCGAGAATTAACTATGAATTTTATACAAAAAAGTATTTGCATCTATGTCCTTATTTTCTTTATCTTTTATCGATAACTTGTTTTATTCTTGTTGAATTTAGTATTTAATTGCTACAAAAATAAAGTTTAACTTTCATCGATTCAGTACTTTACGCCTGAAGTCTGCAATATTTTGTGCCGACCCTAAACTGATGGTGTTTTATCGACATCTGGTGTTCGTAAGAAGAGTTATTTTGTAAAACAGCAGATAAAAATATCTTGATAAACATGAAATAATTCAATGTCATTAACGTAATTTTAGAACAGTAAAACGATGACGTAGTAGGTATGTCAAAAAGTAGCACCTTTTATAATGCAATTACATTCTTCAAAAATACAGAACACTTGATAAATAATCTGCATGTTTAATTAGTCATTTTCTAAATTTTTCAATCGTATGCCAGTGCAGAATACTACGAATTCTTATCATATTATTATAATAATTCGATAAATATTATTCTCATAATTTTTTGCGAAAAAGAAGAATCTTGGCGCATGCGCCATACTGTATCGTTACGCTTCGCGGCCGTAGGATGCGTGCGCACCTCGGCGCGACTCGCGGCTTTCAGGAAAAAATTGAACGTACCGCTCGCCAGTAAACTGTGAGACTTCTAGTGAATCGTTAGGTGAAACGCCGTGTGTTTATTAAATTTCTCTTCTTAACCGTGTCTTCGAATATCTTTAGGCCTTAATCATTCCTCAAAAACGGTTACTTTTCTCAAACTTTCCGAATACTTCGACGCGCTTTACTATCATAACGGTTAGTTGTCAAATTACCAAAGATACAGCTGTGCATATCACCTAACTTCTCTCACAACATAGTCGCTGAGTGAAAAAGCGACGTCGCGGAAGTTATGGATATCAGTCGGTCACGAACCGCGAAGTAAGTTAGGCGTCTGTGTAAGACTGATCGATTTGAGGAGACTGCGTCGTCTCGTGCAGAGTGCTGCCCGTCGTGTCAAGCAGGTTGAATGCTATCACATTATTGGAAGAATAAATAGGTAGACTTTGTTGTAGATGAAGTATACAAGGAACACGAGGCTGTGACATCAAGAAACAAAAATAGAAGTACTCATAGCGTAGAACCACGTGACAACGAGGGGATTCGTGTGACAGCGAGCGTGACAGACAGGAAACGATCAAATCGTTCAGTGATTTGGGCACGTTTCGTTGTGACGCGAACGATCCGGCATAGCCACGAAGTTATTAAAGCATCGTAATTCCCCCGGAAAACACGCAGTGAAGTTGCTCGGTGGATGCCATTGACCGCTGTATTCACGACAATCAAGGCGGTTTCGAAAAAAAACTGGAAGGTGGTAGGTCGGGTGAAGTGACAGGAGCGTCGATAAGGTTAAGGACCGTACGTTGAACGTATTTACGCGTGGAAATCTGCGAAATCGACACCAGTGAAAAATCCATCGCCGAGATGGAGTTCAAGTTCAACGTAAATAAACTCTTACCCAGATATATCAACAAGGTCACGCATACCCTCATTCCAGAAGACTTCAGAGGTGATCGTCGTGAATTAAAGTAAGTACCTCAGTCTCTTTTTTGCCATTTTATCCTTATTTACCTAATTTACAATAAACTTCCTCGTTCCTTTGAAAAAATCTTACGTATTAGGTATGCAACAAAAAAAAGTAAGCAATAAGTATCTGCTTATGCATCGATTGTGTGAGAAATTTTTTCAAATTATTCCGCGAACAAGAACGTCATATCGTGGTAGTGAGAAAAATCGATACATCGTAAGAGGTTATTTATCGCGGTCGTCATCTTCAAGGTTATATCGTAATATGGAACATGCACGGTGTACTTTCACTTGGCGTCGATGACACCCGGCATAGTCATTTGAAGTCATTCTTGCGTCTGGATGACTTCCCGGAACATAATTGGTTCTCTCTCCCTGGTGCGACGTAAATAAACTGTATCCAACACGTTCCAAGCACATTGACACTGTCACATTGGCCGATATTACCGGTAAATCGATGGCGAAAGTAAATGTCAATAAAACAGACATACACGCGTTGGCGTGGCTCGAATTCTTGGAGGATATTTCCATGCAAGAAATTTTTGCAACGTGGTATACGTTAACATTGTTATTCTTTACATCGATTCTCTTACCTTTATTCTTAAGAAATTGTTCAATATTTACTTTCGGTATAAGATATGTAGATTTCATAAAAATATAAAGATTCACAAGAATCAAATTCATAAAAATTATTATCTTAATACAGATACATTTATATAATAAAGGGGAAACAGGAAATATAAATAATTCATTAATTTACAGTTAGCGATATATTTGCAATTAAACAATCATTCGTTTAATTGAATAACTCTAGCTCTCGTCAGTAATCATTAAATCTCACATAATCTATATTATGCCGTTTCTTCTGCTCTGTTTACATACATCAATAAATTACTATACATTGAAAAAACATATTACAGTGATTAACCTAACAAGCAAGCATTAGTTGCACATTAATATCGCGATGAAAATAGCACTTAAGCATTGTCGAACGTTTTTTCCAGATTGAAAGCAATTCTTTGTTTTATCTATTAAGAGTAGTCCAACGTTACTTCGATCGTCGTGAAATGCGTAATGTTGCCGCATAGTTGTGTAGGTGAGAGCTGTTTGCCCCGTATTGACTCCGGGAAACTGGCCAGTTGCCTTCTGATTGGCCCCTAATGCCGCTAATATTTTCAAATGTGAAGTTGCCCGACCACTGCGCACATCTATGTAACTAACATTCCATTGGGCGGCGTGCATGTAATAAGCCTATGAACGTTGCCGGTTTGTATGGCTTGCTTTTTTTCGTCTGCACGCAACCGTTGCACAAGGAATATTTGAGGAAACTTATACGATGATTACGTTACAGATGACGTACATAGATAATGTGAACACGTTAACTTGAATTACATTGGTTTCCTGTACGAACATTATAGATTCGTGGAAGTTAAAGAATACAAGAAAAACACAATTGTAACGGAAATCATTTAATACGATTAATTCAAATTTTGTCTTACTTCTTTGCTACATTCATCGTTAGTACCATTTCTCACCGTACCGTTCGTCACAAGTAACATTTAAATTTCACATATTGTTACAAGAAATTTTATTCCACGATGCAGGATTCTTTAACTCTTTCTGTAAATCTTTTTAGAAATCCTCTGTACTTATTCAAGAGTAATTCCTTCGGTACGCATTGTATTTAATAGAGAAAACAGTCCGGTTTCACGCGCTTTGTGTCTCCGAGTCTCCACGATCGCTTTATTGTCCCGTGGCGTGGGCGTTCAGAACAGGGTTACCGGGCAGCTGAAAATAATGCGCTCGAAAACAAATTACACCTGGTCCTTTAAGCGATCCGTTTGTGCTTGAACGCACCGACGAATATCGGTCTCACGTGTCTCTAATTACAAATAGTACAAGCTACTTCTTCGAACCTCTTCCGTATTTGACGTGTGTTATTAGTTATTCAATTAGTTACCACTTGTTTACGTGCCACTAGAGCACGACTTGACTTTGTATTAGAGCTGATTTTCTTATGGTAAAGTACTGTTTGTACGTTTACATTCTTGAACGGTGACTAGCTTACGTTCACGGAAGTCTTATGATGAAATAGTGCCGCGGTTATTCGCCCTGTTCCCCCTGTACCATTCTGATGGGAAAGATAATAGGAACCGTTTCTTCTATTTCCTTCAACTGTGTACAGAATGTACACAGATTGAAGAATAATACCGTCGAGTAGGCTGGTAGATTTATTTTAAATGTCAGATATCACTGACTCGTCGAATCGCAATCAATCTTCAGTGAAATGTATTGAATTTGAAAGTATATAAAATGGAGAACCAAGGATTGTAAATTTCCATGTTAAACTGCTCAGAGGTTGTGGGTGGCGCTATGAGTAAGGATTGTAGGTTTTCAGATGAGCCAGTCCCATGGTGTAGGTCCTTTCTTTGTTTGAAAGTGACTTGAGGTGACTTAAGGTTGATGTTATTTTGGGTTTAAAGTGGATAATGTAGGTCGCAAAGTCAGATAAGTGATATTGGAGATCTCAATGTTTTAGGTATAGCTAAGAATACTGACAAAAATGCCAATATTCTCTTTTAAAATAGTGCGATGCTAAGAGTAACTTTGGAACAATCCAAGCTGTAAATTTATACATAAATGTAAATAAATTTCTAAGTCAACACTGAATGGTTGCGGATGGTACTACAGACTTAGACTGCAAAAAACTGTCATTTACCATCTGAGTATATTTTTTCTAATTTTAAACATTTCAGGTATTTCACATCACTCATCAAGTTGGCCAAATTATGAAGTTATCATGTTTTTACCGTCTTCCATGTCCATCACCAATAAACCATTAAACTCAGAGTACAAGAACTCTTGTTACATACTGTATATCTGTTACAGTACCAGAATTGTAGATCCTTATGTCATCCCTAAAACTGTAGATGCCATAGATGGTGCATTAAGGATGTTGCCTTGTATACTATCAAAATCATGGGTTGGAATTGTGATTGGCAGCATAGGTAAGGGGTCGTTAGTCCTTGAATCGAATCACGTGAAGGTTGTAAGTTCCTGTCATCCATGACCTCAGTGTTGTGAGACTTGCCACCAACCACCATGACCACTGAAGTGATCCAAGGTGAGTCTCATGATCTCGTAGTAGTCTGAAACAGGTTTCACAGCCTTGGGGTGTTTCAATTCGCGTAGCCATGACTTAGGGATGATCTAATTCGCGATTTGATTAACCTGGGTTAATACGGTTCTAGGTTCCACGATCTTCAGGAGATTTGAATTAAGCACAACGACTCTGGGGTAATTTAACTGGAAATCTCGCGAATTTCCAACGATTCAACTCGAATACAATTTTGATTTCATACTCGAAATAAAATTCTAAAATGTTCCACTTGGAAGATACTTAGAATTTTGAATTTCCTACGCTATAAAACATTTTTCATTCTTTCCCCGTCGATTTTCAAGTTCTAGAGAATGAACGTAAACGAATGAAATTTGTTTATTAATCAGTATAGAAAAAATACTTTCTAAATTCTTCAGCTTCTATACCTCGCGTATGATGAATTATTATGGCAAAGAGAGCAAGTAACATCCACGCGATCCATCGAACGAGAACGAGCGATAAATCGACTTCCTTGATCACCTTGATCCTTCGTCGAACTTGTAATATTTCACCTGCTAGGATCGTCCATAATATTAACCCACATAACTTGGAGAATACATATTCCTTAGAACGTGAAACGTGAATGTGATAAATCATAACGTAACTATGTTAAAATGTAGATGCGCTAAACGATTCATCTAACGAGCCATATTTTCCTTACAAGTACTTTTCCTTACTTCAACTTTCCCAGTTACTTTCCCTTCTTAATATTAAATCGAACTTAACTTTATCGAAGATTGATCATTTTTCTCAAAAGAAGTTCGATCCAACTCTTTTCAAAAATTCAACCTTCTCGGTGTAATAATGGAGGATAATAAAAACACGAAATTTTCATAATTTGGCTAACTCGCTGAGTGACGTCAAATGTCTGAAATGTTTGAAATAAAAATGTGCGAACAAAGGATGATAAGTTGCTCAACGTAAATCCTGTGTAATTAGGTTCCGCGTAGTTAAAACTATGGGGTTACCGACCTCTTCGTCATCGCACGACACTTTATCATACCAATTTAAATCTCGCCCGTATTGTCCAAGCAAAGTATGTTATGTCAGCAAAGTAACAAGTACTTGTAATCGTAGTCTCTAACGAATCCACGGGAAAATCATCGAGTCTCGCTCAACAGTGAAAATATTTCATCGGTATCGTTTAAATCTGAGGCAGACTGTTAATCCACGTGTTCACGCTTACATTATTTGAATAATCTTCACATAAATTAACGACATTTTGTGTGATTTTTCAAATTTAATTCAAGTTAAATTCACTTAATAGTCGAGAACGATTTCCGCTGGTTTCGTGTTTTCATGTTAATTTAAAAAAAGGAAACGTTCTCCTATGGTTTCGCGTCGCGTATCGCCGTAATAATTCACCCATTTCGATGAATATTCACGCGAACGATATTCTTTCTCTCCTTCTCGCTTTGAGACCACTTTGCAAAATTTGCATCTGGTTTGCTCGAATTTTTCCTTCTATTTCGCTGTTCGTCGCGTGTTTCACGTTTTACTGGTTTCGAAGCGAGGATCGTCTACTTACCGGACACGGATCGAAGGCTTAATTGATACGAGTTGTGCACTCGATACGATGAAATGTCGTCTATAAAATGTCAACGACAGCCTTTAATACGCGCGAGCACGTTCAGCGTTTTCGATAAAGAGGATCGAAATTTCTCGCGGATCGAACGTCATTACCGTCACTCGTTCAGCTTTGTTTGCAAGAAAGTATTTTAATGGGTTCCTTGACTTGGGTACATTTGCAAAGGGGAAACATTTCGTATTTGCTCGAAGCCACTTCGCATATTCCGGGACGCGAATTCGATATACAGAGTGTTTCCGGTTTTTCCGGATAAAATGCGGGAGTATGAGGTACAAGTGAACATGAGAATTCCAGCTTTGTGACAAAGTTACACGTAAATATACCTGACAGCGTGAAATATTGCGTAATTTTTTATATTGTAACTGATAATCGAAACGGTTGGAAACTCTCAAGGTAACTGAAAAGCAATTGCTGCGACTGATGCTTACTGTCAGTCGCGATGAATCGTCTTAAGACACACCGTGTAAACATAGAGTTTGCATATAATAGTTCAATATTGTAATTTGCATAGGTTTTTAACGCTGAGAAATTCCTATTTGTTCGAACTGAAATATATAAAGAAGTACTGCCTGAGGATACGAATTTTAACCCCTTGCGGCAGGTTTCAGTGTTCTATGGGAAAAGATCTTTTACTTTAAAATTTTTTAAAATTTTAAATTTCAATTTGAAAGTTTATCATTTCATTAAATTAAGACGAAAGTGGGCAAAGGTAAGCAATTAAGGTTAAAGCGTGCCAAAGGTCTCCGAAAGCACAGTAGAAAACATTCAAAGCGCCTACAGGCTCCAGCAGCAGTGAAAGGGTTAATTATCAGAATTTCTCTCTTCTCAAATAAAAATAATTTCCTAAGATTAATATTATTTCCTAAATAATTCGACTTAAACGGCACTTTTTTAAAATACACAAACCCCTATAATACTTCTGGAGGAAATCATCGCTCAACCGAGGATCTACAGATTCGTCAACCCTTTTTCTCATATTTCTCCAACTTTGCAACTCCCTCGGCGTGATCGATCGCTGAAAAAGCTTTATTCCAGAGCCGCTTAAACGCGTCCTCGCGGACACGCGGTAGCTTCCGCGAGAGATTCGAGGGATCACGTGGCGCCCGATGATCCATCATAGTTCGTTTCAATGTCCCGACATTGCGCTGTTAGGTACAATCGAGCGACATTTGCATTGCAAAACAGCGTATATTGGCTCGATTCCAGTGGTGGAATTGGGTCGGATCTTGTAACACATTAACTCACCTTACGTTGTACGATATAATGATCGATTTCGCCGCCGGTAATACTTTATAATAACTGACATAACCGAGAGTAATGCGTATAGCCCTGTGTCACGAACGAGATATACCTACGGGTGCAAATATGAATTTTCGGTAAATCGACATGTGGATCGTGGTGCAGCTGTATTTCGGCCTCGTTCTCCAGTTTCCTGGAGCTTTGGCCACGCAGAACGCAGTATGCGACGAGTTCTGTTGAGTCAGATGCTAATTTCGTTCGATCGATGTATAATCGGATTATGCAATCGATTTACGAATCGTCACGTTCGAAGGAAAAGGTCTTCAACGAGCCTATTGTGTTGTAATTTGCGTGATGAAACCGGGGAACAGTGCGTGTAATCGCGAACTCCGCGCAAGTATTTTGCAAATGAGAACGGTCGTTGCAACAGATGTACGAGAATGATCGATTTTTATTATTCTCGTTACATGGTACTTGCACTCGTAACAGTGTAAAAATTGCAGCAGGTGTTGCTCCCTTGTAATTATAATTGAGCCGCCCGGTAACCGAAGTGATTAACTCCGTCAAATTAGATTTGTTGAAATTTTTCTTTATCAAGAGGTAAGCACACGTGCTTCGATACTGAAATTGGAAGAATTTCGAAAAGTGGACTTCGTTAATATTAGGGGAGAACTTTGTTTTTAATTGCCTTCTTTTCAACGAGAAATGATACAAATTTCAAATTGAAAGAATCTTACGATACTAAAATCGTGGAAGTTAACCCTTTGCACTTCGAGCATTTTTTGATAAGATTAACAGTGAAACTTGTGGAAAGCTAAAGTTTTGCCTCGAAAAAGAAAAGGATTTTTAGTGTTTACGAATTTATTTATTTGTACCTCTTGTGTTAATTTGCATTATTTTGATAATATAAAATAGTATGAAAAAAGTCTGAATTGTACATTTCTCCAAAGTAAATTTCTCTGAAAAGTCTCTGCAAATTTGGAGTGCAAAGGGTTAATATTATCAAAATTTCCTTTTAATTATCTTCTGTTCTTTTTAACAAGAAATGTTATCAAACTTGAAATTGAAAGAATCGTACTGTATTAAAATCGTGGAAGTTGATATTATGAAAATATTTTCTTTTTTAATTATCTTCTTTATCTTTTTCAACGAGAAATGTTATCAAACTTCAAATTAAAAGAATCTCAGGGTACCAAAATGATTGACATTACTAAAATGTTGCGGTCACCTGATACAGAAACTAATAACCTTGTATGATAAGAAGTAACTTGGAAGTTTTTCTAATAACGTTGTATCGAGTAATTGCACGAGCAGGTTCGTACTTATAATTACAAGTAACCATGCAATACTTCGCTCTATATGGAACATATCTCAGAAATCTGTGTTGCACCCTCTTGAAAAGTTACGTAAGCTAAGCTTATTACTTGGTCGACACTTCAAACGTGTTTCGTAATGCGAGTAATTGGACGGATAAAACCGAATATCTCAGAAATTGTGAGTTTTAGAATAAATGTACGTATGTTCATATTTTTCACTTCGAGATTTTTTGTTCCGCTGCATTTGTCTGGAATAAACTGAACGTTGATCTTCGGACATTGTCTGTACGTCCATCTGTGAGAAAACTATTGCCGCCATATTGTGCTTCCCTGGAAACCATAAGACTTGTGTATTTACTCGCTCATATCGTTGTCCTAATTGTGAAATTGTGCAACTGAGAAAACTTAAATTTTTCGAAAAAATACATATATTATTATTTATATTCAGTTTTTAATTAGTGGATAGATTCAGTGCAAAGGTGATTTTACACTAATCGACAAAGCGGACTTCGAGAAATTAAATTTTTCATTTTCTCTTCTGAAAACTTAAATTTTCGATTTTCTCCTTGGGAAAATTAATTTTTGAATTTCCCATCTTTACCATCGAAAGGACGATGCATAATTTATGTATATTAAAAATCGACGATAGTGGCGCATTTAAAATTGGTCCAACATTATTGGTACCATTCTAATTGTTGGCAGTAGAAAATAGGGATATTATTATTGCCATAATTTGGCCCGCTGCCAACAGCGAATTTTGCAAAATGATGCGGAAGAAAGATAATCCGAAGCGGTTGCAAATTTGTTGACAATACTCCAAAATTACCTTTCGCCGATAAATAATCTGCTTTCTCCTGCGGGGTTGGGGGTCAACCGTAAGTAGAACGAGAAATGGAAATTTGATTATCCCCTGTGCTTAGTGACAGTCGATTCCGTGAAAATCGTTCGACGTATTCTCGAAAATGAGCCACTTGGCGATTTCACGAATTCGATTTCGCCGCATAAGCATTCCACGTTTATCAGCCGTCGGATAAAAATTGACAAACTTATACGCGATTCTTGCGATAATCGCTAATTAGTTATCCGATTCCTCGAAACAACAAGTACACCCCACTGAGATTACGTTTTAAATTACGCGTCAACTTTCTAAAACACTCTGAACCATTGGGAAGAAAAGGGAGAAAAAAATGCAAAACCTGACAGAAGGAATGGGGAATTATGCAGCGAAAGGAAAAAGAACAGTCCTGTTTCGCTGGAGGTAACGAAATAAAGCGATTACGCGGGAAAAAAAGGAGAAGAGAGGAGAGAGAGAAGAAAGTCGAAAGTGGAGCAGTTGTTTCGTGCTATTTCAGTTGTAAACCGCAGCTTACAAGTTACGACAACGTTGAAATGAATAACATCGAAATCGGGGTCGAATTACTAGCGGGTTCCTTTTTCTTTCCAACTTCAAAACTTTCCGGAATTAATGTCTTAATTATACCGCCTTTTCTCGCGTTATTAGTACGCTACTTCATCTTCTGCCGTGCAACGAATGAACTTTGTAAGAAAGTTGCTAATTAAGGGAAGAAGGTAGCTGTTCTCTGTGTGTTCGTGTTGTAAATTTCAGAAATATACATGTATATATGAAATCTTTGTTTCAGCGAGTGCCAGAGGCAATTGACCAGAGTTCTCGACGACATGGGCGAGGCTTCTGCCAGGGCCCAAGGCCTGAACAAGCCGATAACCAGCTCCCTAAAACTTCGAGATACGGACCATATAGTTTATTTATTAGTGGACAACGAAGCAAACAAGTAAGTTCTTTAAATTAATCGTTAGATTTAGGTTAATCCTTGGAAATTTCAGTTCTCCAGACAAACATTTTTCATAATTTTCTAACTTATGAAATTCGTCAAAAAAATTCTTAGATTTAGGTCAACTCTTGGAAATTTCAATTCTCCAGACAAACATTTTTCATAATTTTCTAACTTATGAAATTCGTCAAAAAAATTCTTGGACTCAGGTTAATCCTTAAAAATTTCCAATTCTCCAGACAAACATTTTTCATTATTTTCTAATTCATAAAATTCGCCAAAAAATACTTCCCAGTCACTTGAAAATTATTATTATCGCTATAATCAAGTTTAGCATTTTTATTCTCTGATATCTTAAATCTTATCCGCTGAACGAGAAAATCCTCAGCAAATAACCTTAATCTTCCACTTCCTTATTTTTTCGTGTCGTTCAATTCTTTTCGAACGAACAAAAGGAACGAATGTATTTAATTCCGGCAAAGGGTGGCGATTTACCTGCAAAAGTGACGCAGAGGAACGAGCCGAAATGTGTAATTATCGTAGCCAGATGAAAAGGGTTGCTTCGAAACGTGAAATATTCGTGCTTGGGTAAATTGCTCGATCTAATTGCTTCCGCAAAAGCGTGGGTAAACGACGAATACCCTCTCGAAAAGCGCAACCTGAACCGAGCGGATAGGAGGCTGTATTTCCCAGGATAAGGGGTTTCGTAGCGTGCAAAATGGTCGGTGGATCGATATGTCTGGTGTCGCCTTCTCTGCGGAAATCTAGCTTTTCCCATCCTCGCAGAATCCTTCCACGACGTATATACAGCGTGTGCCTTAAATCCTTTGCTGGCAAATTCACACAACACACTCGATAAATCTCGAACAAATGAAAGAACTTCGTCCAAACACGTATGTCCAAGAATGCTTTTTACCAAGGAGCACTTGTGAAAAGACGTAAAAATTCCAAGATTTACCGCGTCCCGCAAGCAAACTGGCATAGCAAATTGATAAACAAACGGTCGTCGTTGTGTAGCTTTCTGAAACACGAATTTACGAGGTGCGGTAGAAAAAAACTACTTAATCAAACGAGACAGTAATTTGTTTATCAGTCGGTAAATTTACGGAGTTATGAATAATGCAGGATTTTAACATTTTCCACCGTTTAAATATCTATATTTTTAGTGATTTCTTTTTCTTTTTGCTCGGTATAATAAGAGTTTGCATATAATTTGCATTATACATGCAAACTATGCAATTTTGCGCGATTTATCACGTGCAAGTGACATCAGCTTGTCACGGAAATTGGCGAGTCACGTAAATACCGTCGGTAAAATTTCAAAATTAATTTTCAGTTAAGTTTTTAGGTTAGGTTTTAATTTTCAGAAGTCAAGATGCACTGGGCGGCGTTCCGTAAGAAGATGGGTGACCGCTTCACATCCGTCTCTGGAAAAGCCGTGCTGTTGGTTTTATCGGGCTGAAATTTCACACAGACGTTAGTTCCATCCTTACTAACGTCTAAAAATTGTAAAAGTCCAACAGCAAAAATCCTTACCGCCAAGTTGGAGTTCGAGCATGGTCGGGCGTCCTCGCTCATTCTCCGGCTTGTTCTTCGGTTGGTGGTTTCGATGGAAAGTAGAAACCTGGTCTGATAGGGGTATAAGCTACAAAGCTGAGGCACCCTGAGTCCTTCTAAGGACGACCCACACTAGTTAGGTTTTAATTTTCAGGTTTTCTAGGTTAGGTTCTAATTTACAAGATCGAGGATTAGCAAATGTCAGCAATCGTACGTTAGATTTTAATTTTTACGTTTTTTAGGTTAGGTTTTAATTTACAGAGTTTTACTTTTAGGTTTTTTAGGTTAGGTTTTAATTTATAAGACTGAAGGTTAGCAGATGTCATTAATCCGTCGTACATAAGCTTTCTTTACCTGATAATACTAAGTTAGACGTATAGTCAACAAAACAAATCATAAGTCAAGGGATTAACAGAGATCATACGAATTTTTTTTCGTCCCACTGAATACTCTGTATCAATTTAGAGACACTCTATGTGTACAAACGAAGCGTTTCACGTTCGCTCTATCCTGTTTCCCGCTACCACCGTCCTCGCTAAAAATTGTTATTAGTATTGTTATGCACGTTTCGAAACAATGGGAGGCTGATAAAGTTCTAAAGATACTGCTCACGCCATTCTATCCCGATGTGTGTATACTATTAATTACTGAAAGTAGGCGCTCGAATTCCCATCTTCATGACGAAGCGGGTTTAACCGTGATACAATCGACCTGCCTTGGGTTACACGTTGAATTATAATAATGTCCGATGGTAGATATACGGGCGGCAGATGAGGAAACGAGATAAGTACACATCGCGTGCGAACTTTTTCAGATCTCGATTATTTCCATCGATGTTGGAAACATTGTGGACCGTAATTGCTAGAAAATGATGCTTCATTATGTGGAGTTTTTCCTAGGAAAGTCTTGATCATTATTGCGGCATTTCTTGAATAGTTGCTCGAAGAATTTAACGCCGAGATTGTACGCTGCGGATAAAAGTTAATATCGCGATTGTTTTTATATTAATTAATTTTTATAGAAGAACGGTTTATTCTTTTTTATAAGAGTTTCACTAATTATTTCTCCACTGTACGACGGCGAAAGTGTGTTTATTTTTCCTGAGGTATGATTTCAAGTATGAGAAAATTATAGTAATCGCGCTGTAAATTTCTCCCTCGCGTGTTTCACTTTTTGGACCTTTCTCGTTTTATCCGATTGCCGCGTATGAAACGGTCGGCCTGCCAAGAAAGTGTGAATATTGAGCGAGAATTTAACGAATCCCAAAAATACAATATCACTCTAGCCGACGAAAATTTTTCATTTCGAAATACACTACCGGCCAAAAGTTTGGAATCACCGAGCATTGCAATTTACACGAAAATTTCCAGAAAAAGGTCAGGAACTTTGAGAATTTTTTATCATTCGAGTCAATTGATATGAGATGAATTGATAAATGTAGAATTGAGATAAACTTCGAATCTATAAAATATTAGCAGCAGACTTAATATCGATGAAAAGTGGGAGGTGATTCGAAACTTTTGGCCGGTAGTGTATGTACTTTCTGAATATCGTAGAATTTTATCAAACGTGTAAAGCACTTGACATATCGGATAATCTTATCTCACGTTTTATCTTAAAAGAATCTAATCATTTTGCCAATCATTTCACCTGGAAATGTGCGAAATAGAAGTATGGTATATTTCATAACATTGCAAAATACAAAGATATTTATATAAAATGATAAATAATACACAATTAATTCGAATTCGATCATTTCATAAAACTGCAAACATACCTACTGCAAACTAATTATTCTTAAAATTTGGAAGAAAGTGATATAATTAAAAAATTCAATCTCTGTCTGTTTGATAATAAATAAAAGTATAATTCTACCTATAATTCTTTTCGTAGTATTCGAAAATCGTGCTACGTTTCTATTAACAATATAAATTGCAAAAGAGCACGAGATACGTCCGTCGAGGATTCTCTGCAACACTGATAAGCAATCTAACTTCAATCAGCTAAAATCTCCAGTTTTTATATTTAACACGATACAGTTATAGTATAGTACGATCAGAAATATTCCAAAACAAAAACTTCCACCCTATGAATTACTAATTTTTAAATTGTCAACGAAAGAAATTTATTAGAGAAATCATTAATAAACTAGATTGTTCAAAGTTGCGGTTGCAGCGACTTCTACAGATCATCAAATCTCCAAATTTTGCCCTGTAGCAAGAAAAAGTTTGCTCGTCACAGCTCCGACAAGAAAACCATTGTCACCTGCATAGCGTTAACCCTTTACCTTTGCTATTTGGAACAATGTCCCTGTGAATACACGGGCACGAAAACGGCACTATGACGAACACCGTGGATCCAGTTCTCACAGCTCTGTCACGAAGTTCTTTGAGTCACTGGTCCGCGAAGCAGATGCGGCAAAGCTCTATCTACGTCTAACGACGCTTGGATCGCGTGGACCGCAAACCGTGAATCATCGTCGCATAATGTTACAACCTTGCTTCGATTTTACAGCGGACTGGGCAGCGTGGTGGGACTTTTGAAGACTGGATCGAAGAACCTCTTCATGTTCGACGAGTTGGGCGCTCATTATCAGCTGAAGCCTCGATGCGTTTTGGACTTCTACGTGCACGAGTCGAAGCAACGTATGGGACTTGGAAATGTTCTTTATCAGTACATGCTCTCCGTAAGTGTCCAACTACATCTGTATGTACGTCGAAACGAATAGCTTTACGCGCCACGAAACTTGCACCTTGAACGGAAACGCGAAGTTGAGGTGATTCGGGACGGATACTCCAACGTGAAAGGATCTGACGGTGATCTTAGTACGGTCCTCGGGTTTTTTTTTCACCCATTACTTCATTTCTCTTTATAACTTTTGCTGTTATCAAATTTAGGTTCCCTTAACACGTTGACCGTCGTCACCTGTGACCGCAGATTGTTTCCTCAATGGGGCCACGGTGGTCACGAGTGACCGGAGGACCTTTTTCTTTTGGTTACGCGGGGGAGATCTTCCAAAGACACCCCGCCTCCCCCGGGGTAGTGTGGGATTCTTACCCACTAAAACCCCCGCGGTGGTCCTCGCCGGGCGCGCTGGGGAGAGCCGCGGGAACTTTGTATGACGTCCGCAGCTCTCCCCGCGTGACCGGAGGACCTCAAATTTTTAGGATAATTGAAATAAAACGAATATCGTGAGCTAAAAATTTCGAACATCATAGCCAACTAGACGTTAGTTTATAATAATAAGCGTGATATATGTAATACTATGCTTAGAACAATGAAGATTTTCTTATGGCCCCCTGAGAAAAACATGTAAATAGCTATTAAAAGTTTATCATCTAGGTTTGTACGACGTGCTGGTAACATAAATTGTCACACATAAGGTCCTTGGGTCAGGAAAGACCCGAAAACCTTAAGTGTAGAGTCGAACGGAAGAACGGATCAGAGTTAACGGTGGAAAGATCAGTTTCCAGCTGGTTGATTCTATTTGACGCAGTAAATACACAGTCGATGATAGGAATAACTTAATACCTCTCGTTGGAATGTTGAGTCATCCTTGTGGCGTGGATTATGGCTCAGGTGTGATAAACAGGAACTGTAATAGCCGTAATAAAGATTATTTTTATGCAGGAAATGCAACTTGTATATTACGTTTCAATGTTATCAACAAGTCACACCGAGATAGCCTTTGGAAACTTTTGTTCTTTCGGGATGTAGAGTGTTGAGAAAAGTTTGTACATTAGATTGGAACACGTGAAGTCGATTTTATTTAAAAAATTTCAATTTGTGCGAAAGTTACGAGGAATCCTGTAGAAGCTCTAAATATCTAATCGCTAAATTATCTCGAACAGGGAAATAAGGAAGTTTTCCAATCTACATTAGCTTCGCTATCATTTTAATTACGGTTCAAAGTTAAATGCCGCATTTTTATTCTACATTTTTATATCATTTTATTCTACGATCACGCTGTTAAGCATCGAACAGCCAATTAAAAAAGTATCGCTGTTGTTCTCCTCTTCGAATTGAAAAAAAAAGTTGGAAAACGAGGTAAAACAGGTCGCTTCTTCGTTCTCCTTTTCCCCTCTTATCGTCTTTCGAATGATAAATATCCTCGGCAACGTTTCGCGTCGATTCGCGTTAATTTAGAAGCGACGTTCCTGAATTTTACCGGGAGCAAAAGGCAAGGCGGAATGAAAGGTTGGAAGTGAATCGACGGCGTTCGTGGCTGGTACACCAGAATTTTTCCCCCCTATTCTGTTATGGTCGCTGCACTTCTGTCAGAATCATAGCAAGTGCTGTTGGCTTAGCGACACGTGAATTCACCTCGTGCTCTCGTGCACGGTGCTCAACTATTACGATTGCCAACCGGTGCGGTACTTTTCCGTAATTAAACCTTATTAACTTCGCTCCAAGACGTTTTACAGGGTCCGCCGTTACCGGTATACGAGTCGTACTCTTCTCAGATTTTAGAAAAAAAAAAAAATAAAAAAATATTCTACTCGACGCGAATTTTAAGATATTCGCGTTCAGATGGTAAGAGCAACGTTTAAAAACGGTACGAGCTGAGAATTTCGCTTTTTTCTGTTTTTTCTACGGATATCAATCTTCTATTAGTGGGAGCGGCCGACATTTTGAAATGGAACGTTAGTGGCAAGTAATTACTCTGGTCGTCGACTCATTCGATAGTGCTTACCTTAGCTCACCTTATACTAATACGTCCTGAGATAAGAATAAATCATCGATCAACATAATTAATTGCTGCTCCATTTAAAAATAGGCGGAACATGGTAAATTTATTATTCTACGAACTTCGTATCTTGTACTGTTTTAACGAGTTTCAATCGTTCCCATCGTACTTCATTCTTTTTTATGAATTTTCATCGCTTGAACTATTTATAAAATGTATTAACAAAGTTTGACTGAGAAAAAGTAGAAACACTGTGTATAGCAGCGTTATTTTACGTTATTATTTTTTATTCTGAATTAGTATTATTCTCGTTTAATTATAGGGGAAAATTTTGATATTTCTCTTTCTGCACTTCTGCTCTTTTCAACCCTTAAAATATTGCCAGCTTCTTTTAAAATTCGTTACTCGAAGAAGAAACTTATTTACCATTCTTTCATTCGAAATAATTATTGTCCTCGATTCGTTATAGCAGAAAATTTTTATATTCGTCTTTCTGCACTTGCGCTCCTTTCAACCCTTAAGATATAGCCGGCCTCCTTTAAAATTCGTTATTCGAAATAATTAGGTCATCGC